ACCTGACGTTAGATTATTTTATAATTACTCTGTCCTACATTCATACAAAAATCGCACACACACACACACAGACACAAATAGAAATATGAAACTTTTTAGCTGTGAGTAGGCCTAGCATGTAGGCTAGAGTAGAATAGCCTTTTTGCCCAGTGGGCACCCGAAACATTTTTCCGTCAAGTGACATGACGAACAAAACCTGTATCCGTTTTCGCCCCAAATAAGAGAGGATGTCTTGTGGACTGCGTTAACATGAAGGCCGTATTAAAACCAAACAACTGCAGAACAACGGAAAGCAGCCATCGTCTTCAGGTGAAACCAACCTACCAATCTCTTTATCGTGCATTTTCATAAAATATGAAAATCTCCACGACAATCTATAAGGCTAGGCAACCTTCTTGTAAAATAAGATTCTCCGCTTAAGCGCAACAATCCTCGACTAACGGTTCTTGGAATGAACCCTTGTCAACGTTGAAGCACACATCATCAGAGTGTAGCGTATACTCTCAACTCGGTAACTACTATACCACATTGCCACAAATACACTTGGGTCAGAGGGCAGGTGTGAATTTCATATCACATTCTTTTGTGGGATTGCCGATGGTACAAAATTTTATTTGCTATAGCATTTAACAACGTTACTTATTTTCCATTTTAAGTAAGTTTTCAAGACCACGCAGAATGTGATATGGTAAAATACCTTGCGTTCCTTGAAATTTACATCTGCATTTTGACTTAACGTGTCAAGATTATGTGCTGCACTGTCATGATTCGAGTCCCGCTGGGGGAGTTGATAAGACCTGTAGGAGTAGTCGAAACTCCTGTCCACTCCTGCTTGGGGTATAATACCTTTTAGGAAAGCAAGGCTGTGTGAAATTCAATGGGAACTTCAGCTCTACTCATATCATTGAGGGGAAATTCAACTGCCAGTATTTCAGCATGTTAAACTAAATAGGGCAAGCAAATCTCATATATATGATTTACTGGTAGTTTAGAAAACCTGCTCAAAAATGAAAATTACTGATGCCTATTTGAGCTGTGTTCACCCTATTTCGTTTAAGGACTGGTAGTTTAATTTCCCAACAATCATATGAGTAGAGCTGATGCTTCCATTGAATTTCGAATTGCCTTGCTTTCCCAAAAGGTGTTCTCATCCCGACTGGAGTAGACTACATTTTCAACTTCATATAGGTCTTATCAACACCCCAAATGGTATTCGAACCCTGACTGTGCAGTGTGTAATCTTGACACCTTAATCACTACACCACATTGTTACGAGTGTCCTTGGGTCAGAGAACAAGACATTTTCCCATTTCACATTCGGCGGTGGGATTTCCTATGATGCAAACTTAACTTTTATATAGTAGTCGACGACGTTGCTTATTTTTCGTTTTAATTCACTCTGTGGTTCTCCACCACATCTCATATATCTAATTTACTGGTACTCTCGAAAACCTCCTCGAAGCGCTGCCCTGTCATGGTCCGACTCCTGCCGTGGGTGTTGATAGAACCTAGGCGAGGTCGAAACTGCAGTCTACTCCAGCCGGGATGAGAACAATTTTTGGGAAAACAATGCTATGTGAAACGTCAGCTCTACTCATATGATTGTGGGAAAATTCAACTACCAGTTCTTCATCGTCTTAAACGAAATAGGGTGAACATAACTCATAGATATGTTGCTAACTAGCCATAACTACAAGAACGATTTTACACGGTTCAGATACTACTCTACTTTTCACGGCAAATAAATTCGAAATATTATTAATATTTATTATGTTGTTTTATATTATCATATGTGAATTTTTTATCTTTTTATTATATCCTATAATTATTATTTAGTCCGATATACTATTGTTGCATTTATTAATTATCTTTAGAATACATTCCACCCGTCGTCAAAGAAATGGCCACCAAGATCGCTGATGTGCCCCAGAAGGTGGTAACAGAGGCTAATGAAAAGTGCCACATTATGTGAGTACAGCACATTCTCGTGTCTTCGTGCAGTAACTCTTGACGATTTTCCCGCTGGCCATCTATACTTTTCCCCATCTCATTTATTGTGTTTATCCATCTTCTCATATCAAACTTACCTTGCCTCATCCGTTCGCCAATTCACCATAACAGGCATCTTTTTTTATACCGATGCTGTGAACGCATCCACTCCCCCAATCACAGACCGGGTTTCATGCCCGCCCACTCAGCCGCCGTCCCAGTTACACGACATACGCCCATCTGCCCGTTCAGTCTCTAACTCATTTTCACTATCTCTCTTTCGTCAATCTTCATTCAAGAGGCTTCTTGAACGGTCATCTGCGAACAGCCACCCTCGCTGCGCCGGTGGACATAAGAGATGGGAATGTCAATTCTCCCATTCTATGTATCACTATAAGTTAACATTCCTCTTCCACCTTGCTCCAGTGTTTAGCCTATTCACATGTCCCTGTTTCCGTGGAGATTCATACTCCTTGCTCCGCACCTATTGCTTCTAAACGGCAGTAGGGCGATATTTTGTAAGGCCATATTTTGCCCAACTTTCACATGCCAAATTGGACTCCTATTCCCACTCGTACTCTGCTTCCTCCCTCTCTTTGCAAATTTCCCATACTTTTATAGCCGTATTCTCGTCGACTCATGAGCTACACAAAATATATTTCAGTATTTTACGAAAAACAAATTTATCTTTTCTTCAGTCAGCCTTCGTCCTACACTTCATCGAGCTCAAGATATTTAGGCAATATTCCCTGTTATTACATGAGAGCCAAAGGGCGTATGGAAACCAGCAGACAGCACCTAAAAATCAAGTAAAGGTTATAACTGCGATCGACTGCAACGCCAAAAGACTCCGTCTGACGTACGTGAGGATTCCGAGCATGGTTGTTTTTTCGATGATGCAAACAGAGCCATCATGACAGCCCAAACTGGGCAGCGTCGACATAAGAGAAGCTTATTTTTTCAACTCTGTACATGGCGTGGAAAGCTGCAGGACTCGGGGCCTTCCAGATGGCACTGGTGATCTCACGCAAGTTGCAGCAAAAGATTGCTTCTGCCGGACATCAGGTAGACCAAGCTCTGTATCTACAAGATTGTGTCAATGCCAACCTATTGTAGGAGACAAGAATAAAGACGTTCGGTTTATGAGATCAAACGATGAAGTGAAAGTCCATCACTTAGTTAGGATTCTGGGAACAATTCGAAGACATTTCACCACTTTTTGAGTGGATCCCCAAACCAGGAGAAATACTGTTACATATGTTAGATAGTCTGAAGTCGGCTTCTAGGCCTCCTGGCTTCGATAAATGCGAAAGTTTTTTGTTAGTTCCCACTTTGGCAAGCAGTGGCATTATGGTAGGAACACCAAATTGACAAGATTGTATAAAGTCACACATTTCCCATTGGAAATAGTCACGAGACGAATTCATACCTTTAATTAGCTAAGCTGATGGTAATTGGTTCAGTCGCAGTCTCCTATTGCTGTACATAATTGTCCTGGCCTCGTTTTCGCAACCTCGTCGTGATAACAATGGAAGATGACGCATTACGAAATATGTTCTCTTTGTTAGCCCTGAGACCACGACCAAGCTGTGAAAACGAGGCCAGACCAACTCAAAATATCTCGTTTTTTACGGAAGTTTCTTGCCTAGGTACAGGCTGAGTGTAGTCATAGTTTTACTATCCGATCATTGATATGAAACTTAAATGTATTTGTAAGTCAATAACCATTAGGAATATGGTACGACGAAATATATATTCTTAAACGGTTGTTACTTGAGAGTTAGTATCTATTAGATCTTGTTGAGATAAGTATCTATTAAGTAAGAAGTACAATTTAGTAATGGATAAGGATCATCATTGTTATGACTTATACCTTCCGGAAGGATAGTCGAAATTGGAAGAAATTGGAAATAATGATTGTTTTTATGGAGGCTTTGATTGTCTTCGCTTATGCCTACGGCAAAAAAGAGGCATGACCACTTATCGTATGTGAGTAGTTTCGAGACTACCAGTAAATCAGTAATATGAGATGTATTCACCCAATTTCGTCTAAAGTGATGAAGGACTGATAGTAGAATTTTCCCACAATGTTATGAGTAGAGCTGACGTTTCCATTGAATTTCACATAGCATTGCTTTCCCAAAAGTTGTTCTCACCCAGGCACCAGTGGACTACAGTTTCGACCTCACATGGGTCTTATCAATACCCCAAACGGGAGTCGAATTGTGATAGTGCAGAATATGACCTTGACACATTAACCACTCGGCCACATTGCCACGAGTGCAGATGTGAATTTGAAGAAAGGCCAGGCCTTATCCCATATCGCATTCTTTGGTGGGATTGTCGATGAAGCAAACGTATTTTTGCTATACAAATCGACTACGTTACTTATTTGTTGTGTGTTAGTAGAGTTCCGAGAATACGAGTAAATCAGTAATATGAGAGGAATTCATCCTATTTCGTTGAAGGTGATGAAGGGTGAATACATCTCTGAGAGCTATTTATTCAAGTCATGATACTTCGAATGTATGTTTTCGAGGTCATCCTTACTTCGCTTCATTTTAGGAAGTGCCCTGAAATGCAAAAATGTTTTTAAGACTTTTTTAGTCAATCACTCAGTAGTTTGTAAATATATATGGATATTTATATTTATATATGCATAATGATAATAATGGAGTAAATAAAACAATGAAGAGGATATTGCAGCAGATTTTGAAATACGTCAAATGTTAGTTATGTAAAAATTATTGTGCTTGAATGAAAAATCTAAGTAATA